ACACAGTATATATATATATATATATAAGCTCGATACCATAGAGCCCCCCCACATAGCAAATCCCAATTTAACCCATTTATAGGTAATATTTTTGTTGCCAAAATTGAGCAAAAACAGACAATTACGTAGCCTATCTAAAATATTAGATATTAAAATACTAAAATATGAAATAAATAATACAATATTAACTTCTTATTTACTGAACTAAATTACATTTAAACTTGTGCTATTTGGGTCAAAAACAGCACTCGTGTGATATTGCTCTCGCTGCTCGTGTGATATCGCCGATCATATGATATAAATATGAGACAAATTTTTTTTTTTGTCCCGATATCTTAAATTTTAAAGGCATATAACTGCATAATGTTCGTCAACAGTCAACTGTACAAAATGTATGATGACGTACTGGTCTGGGGCGGGGCGGTCTGCGTTAATTGTATTCAAATATTTGAATCGCGTTATTTTTATGTAACTAATTAATTAAATTAACATTCTAAAACGACAGCCCTAAAAAATACAATGTAATTTGAAAGCAACTTCATCATTATTATGCCACCGTTTTCTCATGGAAATCAATGAGGTTGCCAACCGCTTCCAAACAATGATGCCGAAGAGTATCTTTGTTTCTTTCAGTGATGTGCGAGACTCTTGAGATGTGATTGTTGTCTCAGACTGAGAATGAGCTGCTAGTTAACACAACTCTACCACATTTCTGAAGTGATTCAGCTTTGACGTGTTGTTTTCTGGTGCAGCACAACTGGTTCCTCCATACAGCGTTGCTGAATCTGAGCTGCAGTCTGAATGTCAGATATTTCACCCTGCAGTTTCACAGTATTTCATGGTCATTTGTAAAACAACACTGGGATCTAAGATTTAGCGCCTAATGGCTAACACTCTCCGTCCTCAGCAGACTAAACAGTGAATTCAACACTTAATAAAACCGTAAACGAATTTTTCTTTGTTGCAAAACTGTTCAGTGTTTTATAAAGTAGCATTTGAACTAATCAAATGTTTGTCCATTCGAGCAGATGTGGATTTGTCATCTCCGGATGAGAAGTCTGTCATTACTTATGTATCAACGTTATACGACGTCTTCCCGAAAGTACCGGAGGGTATGGAGGGCATCAGTGCAAATGTAAGTACAATCACATATACGTAGTTATAATGTCACTACCCCTGTGAAAAAGAAGTACACTTTTAACATAGTTTTAAAAAGAGTATTATTACAGTAAAAATATACTTTAAAAGAATATACTTAAGTGTGAACTGAATGTAATGTTTTCAGAGTTTATCATAGAGTTTAAAGTTATTGTTTTTTTTATAACTTTATATATTTATTTTTTATAACTTTATTGTTTTTTATAACTTTATTTTTTTATAACTGTTTTTATTTTTATAACTTTATATGTCATTTCATAATTACTGCCAAATGTACTGACGAGCATGACAATGGTAAACTAAAATATACTATGTCATCTTTATATTGAAGCTTGTCATGTATTTAAATATATTTGTAAGTAAACATTTGTCATTTAAAATATATTAACTTTAAATGTACAGTAATATTGAATAACACAGTTGTAATTATGATAATAAAACAATAATACATGTAGTACACATGTGCTTTAGTATGTTAGTCAACACATCAAGATAAGCGTACTTTAAAACACAACAAAAGATTAATAGTACATAATGCTTTAAAATGTACTTTAAAGTAAACCTCAATTTGACATTTTTACATGTGTGCACTTTCTGAAATTGTATGACTCTTCTCTGAGGATACTCAGGCTGATAGTACATAAACATCTCATGGATGATATCAGCTACCTGACTTACTATAGTCAGGTTTTATCTGGGTGGGATGGTGAATTTGCTTGGTCTATGCAAATAAACTTTGTGTCTACATTTTCACATTACATAAGCATTCCGTGTATCTTGGAAGAGTTGGAGGCGCGTTATGCAGTAAATGAAACGTAGTTGGAAGCTCCTAAGGAATCTGTTGATTCTTTGGAATCTTTCCCAGAACATTGAGGAAGAGTATGCATTTTGCCTACTGGTTCCCATTTAAGACACATTGACCTTCAATCCAACATGCTTGCAATTCTTGAATAAATGAACAACTGAATACAGTATGAAGGAAATACTTTTGGAAAGCCAAGAAGTGACACATCCTATAAATTTATCCCGTATTGGTGGAAGCATGACTGTGTTTAAATATGTAGATCTTAAACAGAAGTTGACTGATGGTGTTCCTGAAACAGGATGTGGACATTAAATGGGTTGAATACCAGAACATGGTGAAGTACCTCAGCCAGTGGATCAAACACAATGTGACTGTTATGTCAGACAGAAATTTCCCCAGCAATCCTGTGGAACTTAAGGTGAGATGCCTCACGTTTTCATGTTACTTTTAAGAACATATTTTCAAAACTGTCTACTCAGTGGGTTTCCTGAACGGCTTGTTGATTTTTCCATGAAACAAATCATAAACCAGACCTTATATTTATGCAAAACATAATGTTCTTTTTTCTTTTTTTATTATTTGGAAATGAGAAATATGGCTCAGACAGTAGCTTGTACAATTAGTGCACATGCAGCTTTAGAAAGACATAAGGGGGAGTTTTGAGGTGAACTATCCCTGCACCAATTTTACATTTTAATTTATGAAAGGGCAGATATATCTTAAGTAATAATTTGTCAGATAGCAGACATTTACAGATGTGCTTTTTCAGGCATCAGCAGCTGCTGAGAGCATTGCATAGTGTATTGGAGCCTGAGGCTCAGAGGATTTCCATGGCAAATAGATAGCGTCTGACTCGTGACAACTATTAAAGCCTCTTTAAAGATTTGAAGAGCAGCTCCATCTTTCTCCTTGAGCAGATGCATAGAGTACAGGTGTTCTGCACTCATAACTCGATGGATAGACATCTCTTTGCTTTGTTTTGTCGTAACTAACCCTTTTGAACTTTACAGGCACTTTATACACAGTATCTACAGTTTAAAGAGAATGAAATACCACCGAAAGAAAACGAAAAGGCCAAAATCAAGCATCTCTACAAAATGCTAGAGGTTTGTATCTTTCGTTTCTGGTTTTGATCGTTCATATTTTGTTCGTTTATGTGGCACATGTAGGGATGTCTTGAACTGTGCTGTATGTTGGGATGTAGGTGTGGATAGAGTTCGGTCGCATCCAGCTCCCTCAAGGATACCATCCTAATGACGTGGAGAAGGAATGGGGCAAGCTGATCGTGGCAATGCTGGAGAGAGAGAAGAGCCTGAGGCCTGAAGTGGACAGGTATGAGATGATTTACACACGCTATCTCTCCATCGCTATTTCTTAATGAAAGAATATGGGTGTGGATGACATGCATTCCACTGAGGAATTCACTTAGGATCTACTTGACGTTTTTGACATTTACATTTTGAATATTTTTTATTATCATATCAAACTGGCAACAATACAAACTTAAAAATGTCCACTAAAGTACTTCTGCAAATCTCAACCAAATGTACAGTGACACATTATGTCAAAGGTTGACCATGTTGACATGTTCCAGTTAGCTCCTGCTGGTAAAATTAGCTGTATATTCTGATGAAGAATTTTTTTTTTTTTTCAAGCAATATTTATAGTACCAATATTTTTTTATTTTACTAGGTGTTTTATCAGTGCAGGGTTCTTAAAGAGGTTCTTGTTTATGGAGGGTTCTTAAGAGAGTGAAATTAGATAAAAAAAACCTGCTATAAGCAAAGATGGCAGATTTCTAATCTGATCAGTCCTGCACCAGCCAAGCAACTGCTATTGAGATGAATGTGAATGCTAATGGTGGCTTTCTCTGTAGACCAGCTTGTTATATGCCATTCTCCTTAAAAGTCTAAACACTGTGCTGCTTTTTAAAACACTGCTCTGTTTGTTTGAGCATCCCTACCAATTCAATATAGCAGCAGATGGGGCGCAACAGTCTGTTCAATATATATCTGATATCTGATAATGAGGGAGTGTTCTGTAAATCTAAAAACATCACATCATTGGGCTCAACTGGTGTGTCAATCATTCATAAATCCATTCTTATGTAAATTGTCAAAGAATGCATTGAAATGAATTGTTGGAGAAAAAAATTAAGAATGTTTTGTAGGCACAATTTACACTGAAATTTGTTCTGTTTATGGTTCAGGAATTAGGGCCTTTATGTTTGCAGTTTTAATGTTTTACTAAAAATGTATGTAGGTAATTATTTATGGATAAAATCACCCTTCTATGCATTTCAAATTTATGTTGAAGATATATTGTGCGGTCTTCGGTCACTTCTGACCGGAGAATTTTACATTTAGAATTTTAAAAAATCGTAGCATCTTCAGTCAAAAATGGCCGACCATAGGAAATTAATGGGAAATGGGAAATACAGAAACATTTTGTGTGTACAATCTACAAATCCCCCACAATGCAGAAAAAATTGCACAGCAATGAAAGGGTGAAACTCTAAAACATCTAGAGTGCAAAATCAACACACCAACTCACACACACGCGGACACACACTTATGAACTGGTGTGACTGTAACACAGCAACTATGTAAAATAAAATAAATAATTCAACTACAATGCAGTAAAAAAGTGGACAGCAAGGAAGGGGTTACACTCTAAAACATCAAGAGTGTAAAACAGATTCACACTACCAATACTTGCTAATTCTTAAACTTTATTAAACGCAACGTTTCGGTCCACTGCCTGATGAAGGTCAGTGGACAGAAACGTTGCGTTTAATAAAGTTTAAGAATTAGCAAGTATTGATAGTGTGCGGGTTCGTTACTTATTTATAACCATATAGCCAAAATAAGGTTAAAATCAGATCAGACCCAGAAGGATTAAGCTCTGATAAAGCATTCCTGTTAATTTTTGTTACATTTTTATAGAATTTGAATGTTTTGTGTAACAAAATGCTTTCTGTGTTTAGGTTTGAATGTAGTAATAATAATGCAAAAACCTACACTTCAAATCAACAAAAAATATAAACCTTGACAAAAAGTAGTCTTTGAGAATGCCTTAATATAGATTTAAATCCACAACCTAATAAAAGTAAACAATTATATATCAAAACAAATAGGGAATTCACAAGCCTCTCTATAGGGTCCTTTACTGTACAGGAATCTAGTGGTTACACCATGAAATTACAGGTTTTTATAGTTTTTTTGCTTTCACCAGGAGGTGCTATTCTGCCTTCAAAAATCGGATTTTAAAGGCCTAGTCTCTATTTTAATCTGAAATACTGCATTAATTGAAAAATAATTTAAAAAAATTAGATTTTTTTTTTCTATTTTCAATGGGAAAAATTGATCATAATTATTGCATAAATATTCATTAGTACCATAAAATTATCTCAAAATACAAAAGAAAAAATATTATTGAACACAAATATATTAGATTGATTTTACTGAAGAAAAAAAGAGTTAAATTTCAGGTGTCTGGTCACTTTTGACCGCAAAGACCATGAGTGTGACTCCCAAATGAGGAGCGCACAAGGGTTAAATGTCATCAGAAGGCATCAGTTTTTTAATTATATTGCCCAGCACTCTGGTTGTGCAGCAGAGATTAGTTTTGTTCCCTACACCGAAATGACTGTCACACCTGTGCAGTTCACGGTTGTTACTCATAATATTTAGGTGAAAACATGGTGTTGGAAATTACCTGGAAATAAATGGAAATCACTCATGCTTTTGATATTTATTAGCACTTTTATGCACACATGATTATATAATAACAGCACTGCTATCAATGCCGTAAAATGGTTGAAATGACTGTTAATGAGGCAGAGGAATGTGTTGTGTGGTGTGACACCCCCCCCGTCTCTCTCAGCCTAACTGTCTGAACCTGTGCCGGATCATCTGTCTCACATAAAAAGCAGCGCTCAGTGTTTTACCTGGGGCTGATGCTGTTGTGGGCTGGCTTCTCTGCCATCGGTATGAGCCTATAAATAGCAGTGGCTGGAAGCAGGTGCGGTCAGAAGGGTGGTGTGTGTGGATCTGGGACTGTGCTGCTGATGGAGGGGTGGTAAACGCCATTCTCTGGGTCGGCCAAAGATAGTGTTAGTCTGTTATGATGCACAGCAACCTGGCGTACTGCAGTAGCACCTCATCAGTGAGTGACAGCACTCTGACCAGCCTGGGCTCGGCTGAAAACCTGCTCTACGGAGCACATGGGCCTCTGTCCAGCACACCTCTTTATCTCAATAACTGCTCTGTGTATGGACCCAGGTGAGGGAGCCACACGTGCTTCAGGGAGAGCATTAGATGTGCTTTGTGGTTTTCTCTGCAAAATTCTGTACGAAACGTGCCCTGGTGTTTGATTGTATCTGTCTTTTGTTTTCGTAGACTTGAAATGCTACAGCAGATTGCAAACAGAGTTCAGCGAGACTGCGTAGCCGGAGAGGACAAATTAGCGTTAGCGCGGACGGCTCTGCAGTCGGTGAGTTCCTAATCTGGATTTTGTCTTAATTTCCAGTAATTGTCAAATTAAATTGTGTTCTTGCTTTATTGTTTCTTGCTTTTTTGTTCTTGCTTTAAAAACAAAAGTGAGTGAGGTTTACATTTAGCAGAATAAAAAAAAAAATCACAATTTTTACCTCTCAAGTAAATATACAGTATATACATGAGAAGTTCATTTGCAAAAACCAATAACTCCATTTTTATTTATTTTTTATTGCGCATTCCAAGTAATATCAATCAAACTGCAGTTGGGTTGTTTTAAGTAATAATAACTTAAACAAATACAGGTAATTTACAATATTAAAGTTCATTGAAAGTATGTTTTATTTTTACTTTTTAAAAGTTTGTTTTATAGCAAAAGCAGATAACTCCAACAGTCGTTTTTTTGGCAAAAGCAGATAACTCCACATTTCATGTTTTAGAGTAAAAAAAACAAACACTTGTTTAATCTTTGTAATCTCCTCAGATGACAATGTAGACGCCTGACAAACGTTGTTGTTGTGATCATAAACTGTATGGATGTGATGACACAGAGCTTTTCCCTCACCATTGTAACTGCTTTTGCAAGGTTCCGTGAAAACGTTAAAACTTTTATTTTCCTTTTTCGTCCTGAAGAAGAGATCACAGGTTCATCAAGTTCGTCGAAATTATCCATCCTCGATCACTTTTAGTCAGCTTTGACGGAACTCCTCTCAGCTAGCACGTCTTTTCAAAGTGAACGTAGCCTTGTCACCTGACCTGAATACAGCGCGCTGATTCGCTAAAATGGACTTATCGGCTTCTGTTCAAAAACAACAAGGCGCTTGTCGGCTTCTGCAGTAAAACGTGAACTCGCGATGCCTTGAAAGTGGACAAAACCGGCTTTTTTGACAAAACGTGTTTGGGGTTCATGTCGCGCTATATGTGAAGAATAATGCACGGCAATCAGCTCTTTTTTTTTAAAGTGGTGTTTATCGGTGATCGGCTGAACTCTTCAAATATATATATATATATATATATAGATAGATAGATAGATAGATATGATGAAGGATGTTTAGATATTATACTTAAGCAGAAAATATTATTTAAAAAAATAAATAAATATAACTATTGGACGTTTTACAGCAGCAAAAAGTCTTTTTCTTCTAGCACTGAAAATGTGAATAAAAAAGAAATATATCCTGTAGGATGCCAAACGGTTGGAATCAGGAATCCAGTTTCAGAATGAAGCAGAGACCGCTGGTTACCTTCTGGAGTGTGAGAACTTATTGAGGCAGCAAGTGGTGGATATCCAGCTTTTACTGGATGGGAAATTCTACTTGGCTGATCAGCTCGTTCAAAGGTCAGAAAGTCATTCACTGAACTTCATTATTAAAGAGAATAAATCGTTGAGGCATTCTCAAAGTGAGCAATAGAAATAGTGACGCTTGCTTTACCTTCACTGGTTTTAAACCCTGAAATCTCTTTGGTCCTCAGGGTATCTAAGCTCCGTGACGACCTGTTGGCTTTGAGGACAGAGTGTTCAACCGTCTACAGCAAAGGACGCACACTGACCTCAGAACAGACCAAGATGATGATCTCTGGCATCACGCAGAGTTTGAACTCAAACTTTTCCCCAAACTTCAGTGCCGGACTGTCTCCTGCGCTCACTCACGGAGGCCTGGTCACATCGGGCGGCAGCCCTGCGATGAGCCCAGCTATGACACCCAGCATGCAGCCTGCCGTGGTCCAGACTTACCTCAGCAGCAGAGGAGGAGGAGGAGGAGGAGGAGGAGGAGGAGGCACGGAGCCCGGGGTCCTTCAGCAGCTCAAACACATGCAGATCCGCAAGCCCATGCTCAAATCCTCATTCCTGGATCCCAACTTGACCGAGGATGAGGTTCATATGAAGTTTGTGCAGGATCTGCTTATCTGGGTTGAGGAAATGCAGGTATGTTGAAGACTTTAGATTCCTTTAGTCCTTCACACTGTATTTATGTTTTACATTTTGGACAAACGATCTTGTTTTCTACACTGTTTTAATCATTAAAAATGCAAACCGTGATGATTTGAGTGATTATGCAAACAAATCTTTGATTCAAAGCTATTTTACAGAATTAAGGTTATTTTAACCAAAATTACAGAGGTTTATGCTTAAAATAAATATTGACCTATTTTCCAGAACAGTAAGAGAAATAAATGTAATTCAACATTTAATCTAAGTTTTTTTTTTTCTTTGAGCAAGGCTATCTGATGCTTTTGTCCTGATCTTTTTGTCTCTGAAAGGTTCAGCTTGATCAAGCAGAATGGGGATCTGATCTGCCGAGTGTTGAATCAAATTTAGGAAATCATAAAGATTTTCACAAAGCCATCGAAGAATTCCAGATGAGCATTAAAGAAGCCAAAATGAGTGAGGTAATATACATAATTACATATTTTGATATTTTATAAAAAAAATATTTTTATAAAAAAAAACATCATTATAAACTCCTCAATTTAAACCCAGACTGTTTATAGAGTGCTAAATACAGTCTTATTCATACAAAACTTAGAAATCATCTGAAAAAAAAAAAAAAAAAATAGCTGAAGGCTAAATTTAAGCTGTTATTTGCTGAAAATCAGTGAAAAATCTAAAATCTAAATTGAGTTTGGATGAACTATTCCTTTAAATGATATGTATTCCAACAAATAGTTGTTTTAAAAATATAAAGGCAAATGCATCTGACTTACCCATGTGACTCCCACAGATTCAGATGACCCAGCCACTGAAGCAGAGTTACTCTGAGAAGCTGAATAAGTTAGAAAGCCAGTACAGGAGGCTGCTGGTAAAGAAACTTTGTGAAGGTCTGCTTTTAGAGCCCACATTCTGTAAGAACTGTGCGTCTCAGTTTCTTGTGCTTTTGTGTTTTCAGAAATGTTCCAGTGAGAGGCAGAAACACCTGGACAGCCTGTATGATTTTGTGTCCCGCGCCACTCAGGAGCTGATCTGGCTCAATGAGAAGGAGGAAGAGGAAGTGGCTTTCGACTGGAGTGAGAGGAACAGTAACATTTCAAGGAAGAGGGATTATCATGCAGTAAGTCCATTCAGCCCACATCAAACACATGTTGTATGGCCTCCTTTGGCCTTGACTCAGCTCTAGTTGGCCATTAGATGGATTAGCTGTGATAAATACTGTTTTGCTTTAAGGCTTTATTATAGCAATATGAAAATCGACCCATAGTAATTATTATGAATCCACAAGTGCCTTGATAGAAAACAGCTTAAACCGCACCTGCAGTTAACACATCCTCTTCTACTGGAGCGGTAAAGACCACTTTTAAATATGGTGGCAGTTAGTGTTGTTTTTGGCAGCCTGTTTTAATTTTAGTTTTAGTCTAGTCTTTGTGTGAAGCTGTCATTTTAGTTTTTATTAGTTTTAGTCACGTTCATACTCTTTTTAGTCTAGTCAAGCTTTAGTCAACTAAAAGTCTGAGCATTTTAGTCTTATTTTAGTCAGAATTATCCATGACTATTTTCATCTAGTTTTAGTCGACGAAAACTGATGACATTTTAGTCTAGTTTTAGTCAATGAAAATTGTATTTTAGTCTCTTTTTAGAAATGCAATTCTATTTAACCTAGTCAATATAGTATAAGTACCTAGTAGTATAGACGAAACCAACGCAGTGTGACCTGATGCAGCCCCTGAAGTGAGACACAGGAAACAGAAATACTGCAACATTATAATAATAACGCGACTAAACGAGACGATATAATGTTATAACATTTCGTTTCGTCTCGTTTTGGTCAACGAAAATTAAATAGTTTTTATTTTGTAAACCACATTTAGTCTCGTTTTTATTCGTCAACAATATTGCATTATACATTTAATTATAGTCATCGTCACATGACCAGCATTTACGTTGTGTCTGTGTAAACATCTGTCATGATCAAGATTTTGTGTTAATCACAAGAGTTTTGCATTGCCTTCACTTGCCTTTGCATGTTAAGGTGCAGGTTTTTGGAAAGGAAGCTAGATATCTGTGCCAGGAGTGTCTTCATGAGCCCACATCTTTCCACAGGATCTCATGAGAGAACTGGATGACAAGGAGGAGGTGATCAAGTCAGTACAGGAGAAGGCAGAGAGCCTCCTACTGGAGAACCATCCTGCCAGATTGACCATCGAGGTACAGCCTGGAATAACAGCACTACACTAGACTCTGTTAATGACCATTTAAAAGAAATATACTCAGCATGTTCCATATGAACTTGAAAACTATGTCATGAAAGGTCATGGAACTCTGATTTAAGGAATCGCGCAGCCAAACATTCTGTCATCCTTTTTTACACTCATGCTGCTCCAAACCAGTTGTACTTATTTCTCAAAAGAATTTTAGTAGAATATTCACTTTGTTCTTTTCCATACAGTGAAGTGGAGTGGGGCGGTTGCTGTCAAACTACGAAAATCACCATAAAAGTATAGGATAGATTGTTAGGATAGGACAATATTTGGCCGAGATACAACTATTTGAAAATCTGGAATCTGAA